GTTCAATCCACGAGTACCACACCGCTAATTAGCTTGGTTTTATTAACTTTAGCGAACTCATAGCCTAGCTTCAAGCATCCTTTGTCTGTTAACCCTTGCAATGAAGTCATCAGCCCTTTTGTTCAATTCCTCTGTAGGCAAACAGAGGGCGTCTTCCTGTAAATCCTTTCTTTCCTCGTGTACTTTCAAATTTGCCTCAGCCATTCCTTTCCCTTCATTCTTTTTTCCGTTTTCGCAAGTTCTGCCACGCTTTTCTTTGGAAGATTTCCCCATGTTTTTCTCTTTCTTCTGTTCAACACTAGAAGCTCTTTGAAGGCTCCTTTTGTGGTCAATGTACTCATCATAGTAAACATCAGTAGATGGTGGAGAATTTGAAGTGAAGAACTTGGACTCTCCAACAAGGACAAAGATTATAAGGTTGCCAACTATGAAAATGAACTTGGGGCTGAGGAAAACTGAACCTAGTTTTGGAGGAGAGCCGAAGAGAAAGAGTTTCATGGAATCAAATAGGGAGGGAAACCAGAAAGGGCTAGAACAGAAAAGAGTACAGGCCAAGACAGTCAAAGAATACAGGAAAAAATTGTCAAGAAGTTGATGCTTCTTGGACTTGCTAATTGCACGAATCCCTCTTAGCTTAATGAGATCCATTTCTTGATTTTCTTTAGAATACAGAAGAGGGTTTAGTTGGGGTTATAAGGTCACCAGGAATTCACTCTATCCTTTAGGAAAGGAATAGATGCAATTCCGAGAAAGAATTCAGAGGCAAATTTTAAAAGACCGCTAAAGAGAACTGCCATCTGACTGAACACAAGGCATTGTAAACATGGAATTATATAGAAGGGGAAAGGAGGTTGATTTGGTAAAATTCAAACACAGGCTACTTTTACTCTACTTTGGAATGGTTATATGACTTTATGAAAAGCTGTGGGAGATTGATTAGTGCTTATTGGTTACTTTTTTCTTTCGGCTTCCTGCTTTCCTGTACTTTATGATATGTTGATATATAACGTGCTCTTGGAATAATTATTAACGTAATCTGTGTAAACTGTGGACATTCTCCTGTCCTTTCTACTTGCATGAAAGAGTGATAATGTTTTCTTACTTGATTTTGTTGCCTGGCATCAACTGACAAACTTTAGCTTAGTGGTTTTAACTTGGAGGGATAGGAAAGTGTTTAATGTTGCAAGAACATCAGAAATAGAAAACCAAGAATAGCTGCAAGGATCAAGGTTCAGTGTACCTTATAATTGACAAAGTGAATGAGGAAAAATTTATGCCTATTAGACGAGCCTCATACTGTCTTTGGAGATTTGCTTTAATAATTTCATTATACATCATTTCTGTATTATTTGGTGAAGTCATACTGAGACTTGATAGTGCTGGGAACCAATTTTTTTTTTTTTTCCCAGAATGTTGAGAGAGAGGAACACCTAGCACGTTAATGTAGGAAGTCCACTTAAAAAAAAGCGTTAGATCTTTTTCTTTCCTGAGTGCTCAGTGGAAGCGAAGTGGGAGGTTTGCTTAAAGCATGTGCTAAGCTTTTCCTTGCATTATTCTAATAGCAGAAGGCACATTGTTGAGTGGAGCAAAAAAAGGAAGCTGGTATAGGACCTGGGAAGTGTGGCATTTTTTAAGTTACTGGCAGAAAAGGGGATTGTTTGGATATATCATCTGAACGCCCATATATCCACACAGAATGTGAAGCTTGGTTGGGATTATGGAAACCTTTAATGAAAATAGAGAGAGGCCCTTTTTGAATAACAACAATATGGTATTAATAGATGTGTTCTTTGTTTATATATCTTCATTTTGATGTAAGCAAAACTCGAAAACAGATGAACAAGATATTGGCTGTTGGCTACCACAGTAGTTTGTCTGTCTTCTGATATAGAAATTGCACTATTTAGCATCCTCTTGCACACACTTCTCTAGCTTATTGTCCACTGAAGAGGGTAAAAAAATTGCATGTTCCCTGTCTTGGTAAAACTACTATGATATGCATCCATATCATTGGTAATCTAAACTTAGTTAAATATTATATGTTAAAGGTAGAAAAGGTTGCTGCATTGATTTCCTGGCAGAAAACTGGACCAATTACTCTAACCGAAAATTCTAACATTTTTACCTTGTGTCTAGTGAGATTTTTCTTTTTGCTTAGCAGCAACAGGATTGAGGTTCTTTTACTGATATCTTGCAACATAAAGAAAGACATGTGGTGTATCAACAAGTGATTAATGATGGTTAAACAATTCTTATATTGGATCAGGATGGATACGTGTGGTGTATCAAGTAAACATTTTTTAAGCAAACAAGCGTGCGATCTCCCTTCAAAGTTTAGTCATTCAAGTAGCTTTATTAGGTGGTGAAAGCTCCAAGGCTCCTTTAGATGCATCTAGAGGAGCTATATTTGCAATTGCTTTCGATGAGGTAACTAAGCATTATTTATTTTCTCTAGACAGACGTTCCATTCTTTGAAATTCTGAAGTAATTAAGTAAATAATACCTGTTTTTAGTCTTACCTTTTAGTATCTCATCACGGGCACAAACAATGGAGTTTCCCTTATTGATCCTTTTTTTTTGTGGGTGCGTGTAAAGATTGATGGGACAGGAATGCTTTTGCTAAAGCTAAGATTTCCTGATTTCACAACATGGTTCAAATAATTTAAAATCTTTAGTTTCTGGCTTGTTTAATTGAGGGAGAAAAAGGAGAGAATGGCCCATCTGTGGATTAGAATCTCTGCATTTTAAGGTCACTGGTTTCCTCTACCTGTTCTTGACACAAAAGAGATCGAGAACATTACTGCATGCCTAAACACTGTATCTGTCAGCTACAGGTGGGCACGAGGTACAAATGGAGTGTGTAAAAGTGGCTTTTATTCAATTATTCTAATAGAGCATATGAAGATTTATGCATTATTATATAGTTTTGTGGAAGAGATTAAACTTCAGGGAAATGGCCCAAAAGGAAAGGTTTGGTAAAGCATGATTGTTTATCAACCATTGTACTCTTAACTCGATACCTTAATGCTTAAACAAAGAAAAATATCTGAAGTGCCTAAGCACATGGTCTTGCTAATCATAAAGAGAAGAGAACAAATGGAGATGAAGCTTTCTTGGCTTTCGAAAACAAAGTTAGAGATCTTTTAACTGGCATGGATGTGTACATAACCGAATGTACGTATCTATCCTCCACAGTACAAGCACTCTTACACCTTCCTTTAAGGGAAATCTAAATAAGCAAACACAAGCTAAGTATTTAGACAACGAGGCAATTAAGGAGAAGTTTGCTACAGGTTGAAAGACATTATTGACATATAAAGTTAGAAGAAGCCGACCTTTGCACTTTTTTTTCAGAAGTAGAAGAATCAATGGTGCCTTCTGGCACACAAGGAGCCAACAGAAATGTGAATTCTCATTTCTGCGTGCAGGCTTTCACAATTTGATTACTGATTTTACTTATCAGTCTTAACATTTTGTAGTCACCAATGGTACTCGTATGATTCTTGTTCTTCATATTTATATAACAAGTTGCTCGTTTTTTAACATGCTTTGTACAATTAGTTTTAGAGATAGAGTTATGCTCTGAGGGTCCAACTAATTTATGATTCTCCTCAGATGTGCGATGCAGTAGTGAACTGCCAGCTCTGGAGTTTGCCCAGCTGAGAATACCTGGGAATCGGCAATGTAGTCCTGTACAAGAGGTTCTACTCATTTCAGGCGCATACAATTTCATGAGATCATCAGACTTCAACAAATCGTATAAATTAACCATGGAGTGCTTGTATAAAACTCATAGTCGAGAGCCTGTTCTTCCCCGGAATTAGTCAGGCCTTGGCCCATATAATTCAAAAAGGTAATGAAATGCCACCATCAGTCCCATTTATGAAGACCACGCAAATTGGAGAGGAGATGGAGCAGTAAATTCAGAGTATTCATTAATATTCTCTATCAGAATGTCAAAGCCTCCATGTTTTTATGATTAGTCTAGACGAACAGTACACCCATTTTTACAACCAAAAATATTTTCCATCATTTTGTGCACTTTATTTTTCTGATCAAGGCTTTGATTTATTAAGAGAAAATTATGATGTTCAAGATATATATGTATAATGGCAAATTTGCAATAAACATTAATTTTTGATGGATTCTAACAGAAATATGTTGTGATAAACAGTTATAAATTACAGAATATTAATTGAAATTATCATAGAAATAGAGATAATACATTGTGATATTAAAAAAATAAAATAAAATACACAAGGTGCTTAAAACATTATAGCATAGGTTGTCTTTGGTCCAAATCCTTAAAGCTGAATCAGCCTAACCCTTGTTTTTGATCTGGAGGCTCAAACCTCCGCAGCAGAAATTTTCGGGAGCCCATTTAGTGCAAATCGTGTGTCGGGAGGGAGCCCATTCAATTTTGTGTGTTAGAGATTGTATTAAGTGTTGTTTTTTAGATTGTTTTTTATTTAAAAATTTTTTAAAATTTTATTTTTAATATAAAAAATAAAAATAATTTTAAAACAGTCAAATAAAATTACGTATTAATTTAGATATGAGATTATTTTTCAAAGAAAATTGTGCTTTGAAAATAAAAAAACTCATGATATACCAATTTGAAAGTACAATTAAAATTACTTGCCATATACTCTCTCCATTGAATCCTTATCAAATAAGAACTTGGCATTTGGTTGTACCAAAATTTAATTCATTGGTTGTCCTCATAAATGAATGAAATTACTTTTACTTTTTTGCTAAATCAGCTTTTCTCAATTTGGCATGATTAGGTGTGTGAATACAAAAGAGCATTGGGGTGTGACTTCAAAATATCTTCATTCGTTCCACGCACGCTCTTCTTTTTCCCTCCCTGAATCGTGTGTGAACGTCATTTGACGCCAATTATATGGTCAGGCGAGGATTAATTACCTTCACTAATTAATCCCACCACATAATTAAGATGGTAAACACCCAAGATTAAAGAAAAATTCGGCAGAGCATCATCGTCAAGGGGACAAATATTACCATCAAACACCATACATTTTCAACATATCGAATTAACATAAGCATATGAAAGGAAAGCCACGACATTCAAACTGGTAGATGGGTTAAAGATTTACAAGCACCAAAGTGGGAGAGCAGAGAAGCTAAGATCCCTACACGAGTTAATGATGCCGACTATGTCTTATCAATGCCTCCTCTTCTAAATATTTTTTCTCCCCTCTTCAGTAAGCCTTATGTTCTCCCTGTCCATGGACGATTCATTGTAAATAATTAGAATCCCATGAAAATTTTGCATCAATCTATTCTTTTTATACAAAGATATCGACTACATAAAGGGCCTCCGAATCTGTGGCTTCTGGAAATATTATATGGTACAAGCAGATTAATTTACTTACTTAATCGGGGGTTGCGAACCGAACAGACCTCTTCTTGCCTTTGCCACCACTACCGCTGGCAATGGGGGACTCGGGACGGGAAAACTGATGATCTTGTACCCCTATAAATTTCGTGATATGCTCTCTCACATACCTTTCATAAACGAAAGCTGCCCCCTTGAACGGTGGCAGAACCAACCATGCTGCCAACACAAGTTTCAAAGAGTACCATATGGGAATCCTACAATAACACAATCGGTGCCCCATTAACTAGAGATTATATACTCTAGATTCAAGAGGAGAAAAAGAATTCATAACTGCTAATTAAAATGCCAAAAAAGAAAATCTGGAAACAAAACTTTCTTAATTTACCACTCTAAAAGGGATTGGAGCAGTATCTCTGTAAGAGTAAGAAATGAATATAAGATCCAATAAGCAAGCCACTGCTTATCCTCCTCTCGCGATGGACTCTCTATAGCAACCACTGATGCATACCTGTTTCTCAGAAGAACAATTAGATAGATCGAAAATTTGGTGGGCATACACCCTAAGGGAAAGAAATGATCACAAACAAAACAAAAAAGTTCCAAACTTCTAGAAATGGTTCAGATTCTTACAAGGGGTATAACAACATCAACACTGGCCTGCGTGTTATTAAACAAACATCGATCAGGTAAACCAAAATATTAAGACCTAAAAACAAAGAAAGGAAGGAGTATCTTGGGATCACTCAAAATTTACCCAGATATTGTATGAACGTGAGTGAGAAAAGTCAATAAACGACTCATATTTGCTGGTCTCGCTCTTCCTGCTAGTTTTCTTATCGACAAGAAACACCAGAAAAACTGCAAGGAGGGCTTGAAAGTCAGAACTGAAAGGAGAGTGAAGTTGAAACCAATAAATCACAATGACAAGTGGCTCAATACATGAAAGTGAAGGAACGGCTTATATTATGTCGTTGAGGACACCTGGCGTCTGCTAGAACGGAGTTAAGCATGTCTTTATTATTTTTTAAAAATTAAAATATATTAAATTAATTATTTTTAAAAATACCCTATATCACAATCCAAAAGGCGCTGCACCATCAAATTGGATTGATCTTTACTTAAAGTTATGGTGCGTGCAGGAACAGGTTGCATTTCAATCTTTAAATTCACAATCTTTATAACTTTAATCACATATCTTGTTATATAAAATTATTTTAAGAGAAACCTCATAAAAATCTCCTGAATTTTTTCAAGATTCGCTACTTTTGGTAGTATGGTGCAGCCCCTTTTTTCAAAGAATTTTGTAAATTATTTTTTGTCTAAAAAAATTAAATTAATTATTTTAAATATTTTTTTATAATTTTTATATTCTGATATAACAAAAAATTAAACATAATATTGATAATTTTTAATTTAAATCACTTTTATAAAAACACCCTATACCATATTATTAAACACCCATTAAATCTTTAAACAATGGCTTATAACCCTTAAAATATTTCAAGATTCTCAAATAAGATTTTTTCTAGCAAAATACTTCACTTATGCTTAATGAAAACGTTAAATTTATTACAAAATTATATATTTTATAAGGGGAAAAGGTAAATTCCGGACTTAATTCACTAGCGAGCTTGGATGGAGAGGCTGAAAAATTGGGAAGTTCGAAAGCCCTAGGGGCTCAATTGATATAAAAACTTCTTTGAAACTCAATCAAGACTACCTATATAATTGGGGGACGTTTCTGAGGTTTCCTGGGTTCTTAATGGGTTTTGGCCCCCTCCCATCCAGATCCACTTTTTTGAATATTAAGGTCGGTGACACTAGCCATCAGAGATAGGGTCCATAATATATATATATGACGCCATGATCTTCTTCTGTAATATTTTCACAGGCGGATAGATAAAGACAAAAAATGTTGGAAGATTCGTGAAGGCCAGTAATAATAATTTTTTTTTTAAGTGAAAATCTGAATGAGCTCCTACGTCTTGATTAATTTCATGAATTCTAACCCTAAAAACTTAGCCTGTTAAATGGTGTTGGGCCAAAAACATGAGGAACGATTGATCTAGGAAAGAAAAAGGCAAATGGGTTCAAATGGTTCTTAATGGGTTTTGGCCCCCTCCCATTCAGATCCATTTTTTTTAGTTCTTAATGGGTTTTGGCCCCCTCCCATCCAGATCCACTTTTTTGTATTAACGTGGATGTCCGGGCCAGTTTGCGTGTATCACGACTAATTTCACGGATCCTGAAATTAACGATTATATAAGTCTCCAGTGGCTATCATATAAGCAATCAAGAACTCGAATCTGAGACCATAAAGAGAGCAAACCTCTTGATTCCAAATCCTTACCACTTGTCTATCAAATCCATTTTTTTTTAATATTAAGGTCGGTGACACTAGCCATCAGAGATAGGGTCCATGATATATATATGACGACATGATCTTCTTCTGTAATATTTTCACAGGCGGATAGATAAAGACAAATGTTGGAAGATTCGTGAAGGCCAGTAATAATATTTTTTTTAAGTGAAAATCATCTGAATGAGCTCCTACGTCTTGATTAATTTCATGAATTCTAACCCTAAAAACTTAGCCTGTTAAATGGTGTTGGGCCAAAAACATGAGGAACGATTGATCTAGGAAAGAAAAAGGCAAATGGGTTCAAATGCAATGATTATGGGCAGAGAGAGCAGGCCCAGTTCATGTTCTTCCAAATCCGCCATGAAATCATTTTGTCAGATGTCAACGTCATCTATACTGGGTTTTGGACTTTGTGGTTGAACCAATGAAAAGCAGCTGAATGCATGCAAGTTGTCGACTGACCTTTTCTGGCCAAGAAGTCATTCAACCACCCCACCAATCTTCAAGGAAGAATAATACCTATACGATAGTTTTCACACATGAGTCCAAATCGATTAAGAAAGCTAAAGGCATTGAGATAATTAAAAACTAGCAGAGCCACTAAAACTAAGCAAACACCACCATTCAAATCCCTATACATTTGCGTGTGAGATAGCATTAGAGAATATTCCGATTATTAAAGTAGTTGAGCTGCTAATTAATCTCATTTCCTCTTCTGCTTATGCTTGTCCCCCGTGTTGGAGGGAAGTTTCTTCCGATCTTTCGTTTTGTCTTCTTGTTTGAATCTTTGTACATAAATACGTAGTTAGACCACCAAATACTTTGAAAACTTTCCCTTCTAGGAATTAACCAACCTGAGCCAGAAGCCTCACCCACTTGCCTTTTTCTAACCCAAAATTCCTTTTGGCCTCTGATGTGCTTGTGTTCAATGAATGATCACTTAGCAATGGCATCAACGGCGACAAAGGGGGCTGCTGGATTATATTTTCCAGGGAATTTGCACAAGGTAGAGAAAAAGAATAATGTGACGGTAGTGGCCATGGCCATGGCCAAGGCAGGATTTCCTTGTTCTTGGCACATGATCAAACCGAAAAAGCGAAGCTTTTACGCAATAGCCACTGCCCGTAATCCTCCAAGCTTGGACATTACAAATGAGAAAAAGGTGAATGGGATTCATGTGAGGGAGACTCCATCTCCTTACATAAGCAATACGAATGCCGGTGGGTTGGCAATCCATAGCAATGTTGCTGAACCTCACACATATTTGCTTGGGAGGTTTGTGGAGGACAGGCTTATTTATAGGCAGACGTTCAGTATCAGATCTTATGAGATTGGACCTGACAAAACCGCCACAATGGAAACATTAATGAATCTCCTTCAGGTTAGTTCGCTAATTTTTTTTTTATCCTGTTGAGGTCATGGATTTACATTTTTCCAGCAAAGATCCTAGATTAACACCAAGGACGATTTTCTTTTTATTTTCTTTTCATCATTATTTTACATTTTTCCAGCAAAGATCCTAGATAATCTGTACAACATTCCTTTTCAATTCCAGCATTTGCTGTCTATAATGCACTTGGAGTTCACAGCATCCAAGCATTGACCTGCTAAATTAACACCAAGGACGATTTTCTTTTCATCTTTCTGCAGCCTAAGTTCGATAAAATGGGCTCAACTAATTGCCAAACGAAAAAAGCATGTTCTTGAAAAGTTTTTCATCAATGACATTGAATTTAAGTGCTGATTAATGAAGTTTGAATGATTGATTCATGTATCAAACTAGTGATTGGATTCCATATATGTGCGTGACTGTAGGAAACTGCACTGAACCATGTGACAAGCTCAGGACTAGCTGGAAATGGCTTCGGTGCTACCCGAGAGATGAGCCTCAGGAAACTTATTTGGGTAGTCACTCGCATTCACGTTCAAGAACAGCGATACAGCTGCTGGTATGTTATCTTATTGCAGTCCCAAACGCTTCTTAAATCATGTTTCAAGGAAAGATCAGACTAGAAAATTTCGTAAATACACGAACTTGAACAAGGTCTGAATTGTTTCATCATGTTCAATAGTCTACAGCAGACTTCCTAAATTAATTCCTTACGTTTCTATCACTGGAACAAACTTTTTTGGACAATTCATTGTGACAGGGGAGACGTTGTCGAGATCGATACATGGGTAGATGCAACCGGGAAGAATGGTATGCGCAGGGACTGGATAATTCGAGACTACAACACCCAGGAGATCATAACAAGAGCAACAAGGTTTAGCATGTCTATGTTAAAGCGCTAATGAACGATTGTTATCTACTCTTGGTAGTTCTTAACTCCTATTATTAACTATCTCAATTCAGCACATGGGTGATCATGAATAGAGAAACAAGAAAGCTATCCAAAATCCCAGATGAAGTCAGGGAAGAATTGGTACCATTCTACACAAACAGGCTTTCGATTGCTGCTGAACACAATGATGTTGAGAAAATTGATAAGCTTAACAATGAAACAGCAGGGAGAATTCGATCCGGCTTAGCTGTAAGTGGAAACAATTTGGATTTGTAACTCGTACCCTCTATTGCCAATGTATTATCTGGTCCAAATAATTTTGTTTCTCGAGCTATCTTGGTTTATTAATTCCTGGAATCATTCATTATGCAGCCAAGATGGAGTGATATGGATGCCAACCAGCATATAAATAATGTGAAATACATTGGATGGATTCTGGAGGTAAGACATGAAAGTCCTCACACCACACACAAATTCAATTGTTTGAATAGAAACGCCATTAAATAAGCAGCAAAAAGAATTACCATTTTTTTTTATTTTGTTGTGAGCGCAGAGTGTGCCAATGCATGTCCTGGAACATTACAATATGACAAGCATGACCCTTGAGTATCGACGAGAGTGTCGACAATCAAATCTGCTCGAATCCTTAACAAGTGCGAGCGAAGATTCAAACAGTGGTTCCAGTAATCGCAAAGCAGGCATGGAATACACGCATCTGCTGCGTATGCAAGCAGACAAGGCAGAGATAGTTCGTGCAAGAACGGAATGGAAATCCAAATTAAAGCACAAGTGATGTTATTTTGTACACGTTCAAACACTGCTACAGGCAGCTCATGCTTTCTCTTTATTTATTTATTTATTTATTTTTACTTCCTTCTTGTGTAAACCACCCATTTGTTGCTTTCTTTGGTTTTGCGAGCTCATGTTTATTGATTGTGAATAAAAACTACAAGCATTGTGCTTCCAACCATTTGTTTCTTTAATTATAGCAGTGCATAAACTATAAGTTTTATGGCAATGGTATTCTCTACGGTATCGAGATTAATTTTAATTTTTCAATCCGGCTAAAGATGGATTCTTTTCTTGGGAGTAAAAGGTTAATAAGAAGTTTAATTAGTTTTCATAACCCAATATGATTATTGAAGGACAGGAAGGGAGTAAAAGGTTAATAAGAAGTTTAATTAGTTTTCATAACCCAATATGATGATTGAAGGACAGGAAGGGTGTGGAGACACAAGATTCACGTCACATAGTACATATATATTACTTAGTTGTATAGATGGAGATGACATTT